CTCCTTCCTCACACTACCAGAGGATATTTCATAGAACCATAGGCTGATTTGTGCTAGAAGGGACATTTAAAGTTCATTTAGTCCAATCTCCCTACAATGGCTGGTGACACCTGCCACTATCCCAGGTTGCTCCAAGTCCCGTCCAACCTGGCCTTGAACACTTCCAGGGATGGGGCAGTCACAGCTTCTTTGGGCAGCCTGTGCCAGCGTTTCACCACCCTCATTGCAAAAACTTCTTCTCGTATCTAATTTAAATTGACTCTCCTTTAGTTTAAAAGCATCACCTCTTGTCCTATCACAACAGACCCTGCTAAAAGACCCCATATTTCTTGGCCTTACAGCACCACCCTCCTCCACAAACCCCATTTCTTGGCCTGAGGCTGACCACTGCTCTGATGAGAGAGTTACTGCTGCAGACTAATCTGTGAGAAACCCATTTGTCTCTGTCCCATGCCCAAGTCACAGAAAGTCTCCACATTTTTATCTCAGGATGATCCAGCTTGGAGACTGGTAGTGGCTGGTGGGATGATTCTGCCAGTCTCTGAAGGCATTTTTGAAGGCTTTCACCAGACTTTTTTGACTGGTGAGTGACAGGGCTGTTGTGGGGGTTGATAACTGGATTAGCTCGAGCCAAAATTGCTTCTGCCTACACTCAGCAGGACCTCGGTTCATCCCCCACTGTGTCAGCTCACAAAATCCAAGAGACCCTTTTCCAGCCTGTGCTTAACCCACCGCAGTCTGTCACCCCCCAGGGGACTCTGCTAACGAACTGTGCTTGAGGAACATCATCTACCAGCAGATAGCAGCTCCCAGAGGAACAGGCAGCCTGGGAGGGATGAAGCTGATGGTGAAACCTCCCATTAATCACAGAAGCGCAGCTGCCACCTCCCCACCCCGGCTACCAGAACTAATCACACCACGGAGCAGACAAAACATCCACATTTTTACCCTGCCTTGTGCTCCCATGTGTTTTCTCTCCATGTGCTCTGTGTCAGGAGATGTCTGGTGCTCAGATACGGCTGCCCCTGGACTGTGGATCATATGCTGAAGGATTGTGTTGTCATCCAGCCCCTTCCTTGGAAACATCAGCCTGGAGAGTCCATAATGCAAATCCTCAACTGTCCATGATGCAAAGAGTCCATCAGGCAAATCAATAACTGTCCTCCTTGGGGAGATAAACGTGTTCCCATGCCCTTCAAGGAGGCCCTCAGCTTCACCTTTGCTTTCAGAGATGTCTCCTTTGGGCAATCACCTCCCCGTGGTGATAACCTAAGACAGTATTGCCAAATTTCTTGCCTTGAAGTAAAACCAGAACAGCATTGCCTTGGGCTTTCCTTGCAAGCAGCAGCTTGGAGGGAAAAGTTATTTAATTTCCTTTTTTTTTTTTTAATCCCAGGAACTGTATTTTATTGAGGTGGCTACTTCCAAGGGCTGCTGTGGGCCAAGCAGAAACTCAGAGCTTGGGAGAAAAGGGGCTAATTGCAAACATGGGATATGCATGAATTTGGAATAAACATAGTGATTTCCAGAGCAAATGTAAAGACTCATTGAAATTAGGAAGAAATTCTTTACTCTAAGGGCGATGAGGCCCTGGTACAGGTTACCCAGAGAAACTGTGGACTCCCCATCCCTGGAAGAGTTCAAGGCCAGACTGGACTGGGCTTTGAGCAACTTGGTCTAGTGGAAGGTTCCCTGCCCACGGCAGGGGAGTTGGAACTAACTGACTTTAAGATCCCTTCCAGCCCAAACCATTCCATTATTCTATGAAATCACACCTGCATCATTGGATCCTTGTCCTGCAGACCTCACAGGGATGTGTTGCCCTTGCAAGTGGTGCCAGCTCCAGACCTCTATCTGAATTCTCACCAAGTCTGGTAGTTCCCTAATGCCTTCTCATCTCCCAGCTGCAGGTTTGGTTTTGTCACTACAGCTCCTGTAGCAGAGACTTTGCTGTTTCTTGGTGCTCCAGGACCACGGCATCAGGTCCCCCAGACTGGGCAGGGACTTCCAGGCTTGAAGAACCATCCCTTATTTCTTCTCCTTCTGAAACCTGAGAAAGCCAGGTTTCAGGTTCTATTCTACAAAACAGGATTGTGGCCCAGGACTCTTCCTTCCCAGACCTTTCGGATTTTTTGGAGTGACCACCGAAAAACCCCAGTGAGATGCAATCACTGTGATGGGATCTCAATTGCTCTGTTGTGGTTTGATACAGCCAAGATTTTTGATGCATTATTAACTTTCCTGCTGGCTGGAGCTTCCCCCAGCCCTGGGAAGGATCTGTCTGACACCAAGGAGGGGTCATACCCCTTGAGGTCTCACTAGCCCAGCCAACATCCTTGCAGAAGGTCTCTCCACTTGTATATACACCCCTATGAATTAAGAGATGTGTGTTCAGGAAGAGAGTTTTAGGATCTTACCCAAGAAATTTAGGACTGGGTCTACTGGGCCAGGAGGCTTTAAGTCTGACACAACAGGTTGGACAACACATTCCTCCAAAAAACTGTTTTTTCCTCTCCTTCTTTCATAGATTTGGGGACCGTGGGGTGGGTGGAGGATGGGGTGGGTAGGCATTCATGCCCATGCACCTCCCCTCCTTCCCTCATCCTCCCCATCACCCTCTCCAGTCCCTTCCCCTTTTCTCAGCAATGATAAGCTCCCTGATGGAAAAAATGTTGTCACACATATCTCACTTCCAGTGTGTGGGAGTTGCTGATAACACCATGAAGATCTGGACAATAAAGCCTCCTGACAGCTTTTCTGTCCATCCCAAGCACAGGGAGATGATCTTGAAGGAAGAGCAGAGTGTTCACAGGGTTTAGAGAAGGGTCCTGCAAGTTGTGGCACTGGGGAGGAGAATGGAGAGGGGTAAAGAGCTCCTTTACCCTCTCTCATCTGGGATGCAAAGCCATTCCCCTGCACATTCCTCCAAAATCCCCACTGCCCTGGGGCATCTCCAAACTGAGAGCCATGAGATTTTGGCTTCAGGTGGCTTTGCTGTCACGCTGGGGAGCAGCCTGGCAGCTGCTCACCACAGTGTTTGTTTTGGAGCATCCAGTGCTCCATCCCTGGGGAGAGGGGTCTGTGCTGCTCCAGCACTGCTGTCCTTCCATGTGGAGCTGCCAAAAGAGCCCAGAGCACCTTGCCAGAAGGGTGAAGTCATTTATTTATGCCTAGAAAAGAAATGCACTTTATTGCACAGCCTCTGAGCAGTCAGGGCTGACCCACTGCCAGGCTTTGGCTGGGATGTGAACAGCCAAGGTCAGCACGGGGCAGTGCCAGGGGCTGCATTGCTTCTTAGTCCCCTTGTCAGGGTCTACAAACAGGGCATCAATTTATTCATGTATAAAAAAGTGCCAAGGTTTTGCTGGCAGAGGTTCATTTGACCAGCAGAATCACAGAATCACCCAGAATCACGGAATCATTTAGTCTGGAAAAGGCCTCCAAGATCATCGAGTCCAACCTGTGCCCGATCCCCTCCTTGTCACCCAGCCCAGAGCACTGAGTGCCACATCCAGTCATTCCTTGGACACCTCCAGGGATGGGGACTCCACCACCTCCTTGGGCAGCCCCTTCCAAAGACTGACAACCCTTTCCATGAAGAAATTTTTCCTGATGTCCAACCTGAACCTCCCCTGGTGCAGTTTGAGGCTGTTTCCTCTTGTCCCATCCCTTGTTCCCTGGGAGCAGAGGCCTGGGAGGGAGTTGCAGAGCCAGAAGGTCCCCCCTGAGCCTCCTTTTCTCCAGGCTGAGCCCCCCCAGCTCCCTCAGCTGTTCCTGCTTCTCCAGCCCCTTCCCCAGCTCCGTTCCCTTCCCTGGACATGCTCCAACCCCTCAGTGTCCTAGTTGTGAGGGCCCTAAAACTGCCCCCAGGACTGGAGGTGCCTCAGCAGTGCCAGCACAGGGGAAGAATCACTGTCCTGGCTCTGCTGCCACACCAGTGCTGGTATAGTTCAGGTGCCATTGGCCTTTTTGGCCACCTGGGCACACCCGGCTCATGTTCAGCTGCTGTCAACCAGCACCCCCAGGGCCTTTTCCAGCTTTCCAGCCACTTCTCCCCCAGTCTGGAGCTTCAGGAGGTTGTTGTGACCCGAATGAAGGACCTGGCACTTGGCCTTTTTCAACCCTTTACGATTGTCCTCAGCCCATGGATCCAGCCTGTCCAGACTCCTCTGCAGATCCTTCCCACCCTCCAGCAGATCAACACTCCCACCCAGCCTAGTGTTGTCTGCCAGCTGACTGAGGGTAAGAGTCTCCATGGTGGTGGCTTGCCCTGGGCTCCCTTTGCCATCCACAGAGATAAGAAAACCCTTGTAAGACATAATTCCTTGCTGCACAGAGACTGTTCCTCTGGTTCCAAGGGAGCTGTAGAGGCCATGGGGATGGAAAACTGTGCTTTGTAGATATTCAGATTGCTTACCACACACAAGGGCTCAGCTCAGCCTGAGATGAAGGGGCTCTTCTGAAACAGAGCTGAGAGTCCCTGCAGGTGACCCTGATTTTATAGCACTCCTAGTTTTTCAGTATCTGTTTTCTCACTGCAATTACAATACCTGAGAATGACTTTTGCAGAAAATCTTATTTATTCCAAGCAAAAGAAAATTAATTTTATAAATTTTCCAGACAGATTGAGAACCACTCATTGTTTAGATTTCTGTCCTGTGCCTCAGGAGCTGTAGATCCTTTCCTCAAATTCTCCATTGTCCTCTAAATCACCAGTCTCCAAAGTGAGCAGGATGATCCATCAGAATGGGGAAAATAAATATTCTTTCTAGTATTAATGCATAATGCAAAATTAAATATATTAAAACACCATTGGTGTAGGGAAATCTCTCTCTCTCCTTGGGCTACAGTTCCTGTGTCCCACAAGGCTTTTCCTTCCTGTTGCAGGAGATAGGAAGCACATTTTGTTCTGCATTTAACCAAAAATATTTCATACTTTTCTGATCAAACCACATTTCTAGGGGAGAGAAGAAAAAAGGTGGGGGTGCTAGGGTTGTTGCTGTTTTAAGGGGAATGAAGGTTGGCCATTTCAAGTGGGAAAAAAAAAATTGCCAAAATCTTCTGGAGAGGAACACAGTGCTCCATCTCAAAACCATTTCCATGGTAAACTTGTACCCAGCTCTGCTTGAGATCTCTCCTGATCTCAAGCTTTGGGTGTGGGACAGATCGATTCACTTCCCTCCCTCTGCCCTGACCTCTTCCTTTGATGGCAAGGAGGATCTTCTAACACTTTTCAGATGGTCGCACAGGATTTTCCAGGTTGTCTGCCTGGGATATGAAAGGTTAAACTTTCCCAGGCCTCGACAGGAGCGGAGCTGGGTGACAGCATCGCCCTTGACTCAGCTGGGCTCTGGCACAGAGTCGTTTTCTTTGCTTCTCCGGCGGCTGATAGCCGGCTCCATCCTGCTGGGAGCGATTTCCCTGCTTCCAGTGAGCTCAAACACACACACACACACAGCCCTGTGCACACCCAGGCGTCCACGCCTCTCACAAGGCTCACATTCAGAGGCTCCCCGCCTCCTTTCCCTTTGCAGCCCCGGCATCCCGTCCCCGAGGTGTCATCCTGCCCCTGATAAGGCACAGGGGCGGCTGCCAAGGGAAGGCTCCCAGTTGCTCCCGGCGCCAGGCTGGGTAGAGGCAGACGTGTCTAACCCCTGCCTCCTCCTGCGGCAGCGCCTGCTCCTCTGAAGGGCCAAAAACAGATGACATCATCCCCTCGTTGTGTCCACCCCCTCCAGCATCTCTATCAGCCCCACGGAGAGGCGTGTGCACGGAGGAGCGAGGAGGAAGAGGGAAGGCAGGGGGAGGAGGTCGGGGAAAAGGAGGGAAGGCAAAGGCTGGAGCTGGAAGTTGGTTACTTTGGCAAAGAGACAAGGTTCTGCAAAACTTCACCGGAGAGACTTCAAAAAGGTGGAAAAACTAGAGGCTCGTTTCTGGCAGGTCTTGTTATCAAGGGGAGCCTTATCTCCCGATGGGAATGATGGCTCCTGTGAGCCGGAGTGGCTGCTAACCTCTGGCTGAGCTCTCCGAGGGCCCCGTGGAGCAGGACCGTCCCTCAACGGAGAGGAGGAGCATCCAGGAGAGGGGACTGCATGAAGGAATTGCCGCCGTATTTGCAACCTGCAGATCTGGGAGCAAGGATGGGCTATTTCAGCACGGAACCCACAGGAGCCCAGTCCCTCACTGGTTCAGGAGGAGTGAGGGAATCTTTCCCTGCTCACAGTCCAGGCAGAGATGGGATAGATCTCCACTGGCTGACAACTGTCAGCTGGTTTTACTGGTTTCCCTGTTTCCTTCAGGACAAGACTAGTCCCCCTGGCTTAGATAGCAGAGTGGGTTTAGGCTGAAGCCACGTGTGTAGCTGGAGGTTTTAGGTTGGGAATTAAGTCCACTTCATTGCTTGCATGTCCTAGATACCATATACTGTATGTTTTCCAGAAAGGAATCTTCCAACTTTTCTCTCTGGGAGACTTTCATATCCTGTCAAGCCATCTCTCTCCTCACACCTTCAAGACATCTCTATTGTTGCTCACCCTACACCACCTCCTTGCCACCTCACCACCTCCAAGGTGAAGACTTGCTTCTGGGGTCCTGCTCCAGACCACATCACAACAGGCAATTCCTCTTCCTTCTTAGCTCCACAGTCAACAACATTTACTCCCTGTTGAGGAGCTGCTGTAAGTGAACTTGGCCTTGGCCCATTCCCATTCATAATTCCACTCAGTAGATCAGCACATGCAGGAAAAGAGGCAGTGATGTCCCTCATGTGATGTGAGTGGCATCTATTTGGGTCACAAGAGACCTTTAGAAGTCATTTAGTCCAAACCCCCTGCAACGAGCAGGAACATCTTCTGCTAGATCAGGTTGGATAATGTGAGTTATATACCCTGGTTCACCTTGTCTTTTCTGTGGGAGAGGAAGACGCACTTCTGGAGGACAAATCATACCTCTGTCTTGGATTTATCTCCTTGAAAGTATGGATCCTGCCATGGCCTTTCCTGAAGAGAGCAAGAAACTGAGTTTGAGAAAGGCTGGGCCTGAGACAGGGGTAGAGGAATGGGCTAGAAGAGAGACTTGGACAAGCCCGGCAGACCCCTCTCTTGCTGCCACTCTGGAAAGACACCCCTTGGTCCTATATCACACCTGTCAGCCTTGTTCAGATGTTTTGGACACCCCAGTGCACCTCAAGCAGCATCAAACACCAAGTGTAGGTCAGGATGGTCCATCCCAGAGGGAAACACGGCTGCACTCAGGACCCAGAAGGACATAAAAAACCAACAGTTTTATTGGTGATGGACAAACCAAGCGTGGAGGTGTCTGAGAGCAGATCCTATGTACAGTTGTGTTTGCAGGGTCACTGGGCTGGTTCTTCTGGGGGGCTGGGCTCTGTCCTGGTGGGACCACTCTCACCGGCAGCAGCGGAGGCGGCCGTTCCCGCAGCTCCCTTCCCAGCGCTCCATGTGGAAGCAAAGCCTCCGGCAGTAGCCACGGTTGCTCCTGCACTGCTGGCTGCCTGAAAGGCCTCTGGCTGCTGGGGAAAGAGGGCAGGAGACCTGATTAGGAGATGTGAAACCCAGTCAGAGCCCCACTGTGTTGGTGGATGAGCAATGAGAGGCTTTCAGTTGGCAACAGGGAAATTCAGCTGGATCCATGGTGAAAGTCAGACGTGCTTGGGAGGAGCAACTCCCTCCTGCAAGCTCTGGGAGTCTCCTAGCAACTGGCCTAGGTGAGACACTCAGGTTTGGGTTGGCTAAGTCAGGTTAGATGAGTTAGGTGAGGTGCATCCCTTGGACAGCATCAAAAGATAGAGAAATGTCTTTTGGAACTGGTGTTTTATCTATTGGTTTGTTTGATTTTTTTTTGGTTTGTTTGTTTGTTTCTTGATGTTTTGGGTTATTGTTTGCTTGGGCTTTCTAAATCTTCCTGTTTTGATAAGCAGGGTATATACTGCTTCTCTTTACACACAGCAGAAACACCAAGTTTGGGGGTTCTGAAGGGATGCAATGATACCTTTCCATCACGAGTGGAATGGGCAAACCCCTCTCTCTCCCCTCTTTATCCTCAGGACTTAAATAAATGAGAGCATAAACAGGCTAAGTAAGTAAATCTGCTCTTCCTGGTTATGAGGTTTGGTGTCTGTGAAAGTGATACCACCGTAGTCCTGGTAACATCATAGTGACCTTACACCTGAATGTAACCTGAATTCCTAACATATATATGCAAGAACCAGTGAAAATACCAAGCTAAGGAATGTTCTTCTATTAAAACAGAATCCCAAAAGAAAGCAGACAGACAAAAAAGCAAACTAGCAGTCTTTCTCCCCGCTTTTTGCCCTGAAAGATGGCTTTGATTTCATAGAATCAAAGAAACACAGAATGGTTTGGGTTGGAAGGGACTTTAAAGATCGTCTACTTCCAACCTCCTGCCATATGCAGGGACACCTTCCACTAGACCAGTTTGCTTCAAGCCCTGTCCAACCTGGCCTTGAACACTTTCAGGGATGGAAAATCAACAATCTCTCTGGGCAACTTGTACCAGGGTCTCACCACCCTCACAGTAAAGAATTTCTTCCTAATATCTAATTTATACCTTCCCTCCCTCAGCTTAAGACCATTCTCCTTGTCCTGTCCCTCCAGGCCCTTGTCCAAAGTCACTCTTCAGCTTTCTTGGAGCCCCTTTAGGCACTGGAAAGGGCTCCAAGGTCTACCTGGAGCCTTCTCTTCTCCAGATGAACACCCCCAGCTCTCCCAGCCTGGCTTCAGAGCAGAGGGGCTCCAGCCCTTGGACCATCTCTGTGGCCTTCTCTGGACTTGCTCCAGCAGCTCCACGTCTTTCTTGTGTTGGTGCCCCAGAGCTGGAGGCAGCTCTGCAGGTGGGGTCTCACCTGAGTGGGGCAGAGGAGGGAAATCATCTCCCTCAACCTGCTGGTCATGCTTTCATTTTCATGCATTTGCCACCTCTGTATTCTACTCAAGGAGAATTTCATGGGATTCTCCTTTTTTTGTGGAGAATGAGGTCTGCATCCTCTGTTCAGGAGCAGAGCTCAGGCCCCTGGCTTAGGCTCAGCATTTCTGGGTGAGTTTTGAGGCAATGGGGAGGAGGGAATGTACAACCTGTGAACGTGGGACAGCTGCATCCAGGAACTTCACGGGGACTATCACGGAAGAAACTTGTTCCTTGAAAGCAAGAGTTAGGTCAGCCTTGACTTGAGGGCCCTGTCTTGTGCTTTTCTCCCTCAGGGTAGGAACCTGTCTCTGCTCTCTCGAATTCCTGCAGAAACCCCTGTGAGCATTTTGTCCTTACCGGGAATGTCCTGGAGGAGGAGAATGACAATGACTGCAAAGAGCAGCTGGAGGATCCGCATGGCTCGTGAGTGGAGGTCCCACCACGGGGAGGAGTGAAGGGCTGTAAGGAGATGAAGAAGAGGGAAATCCTGGATTTATAGTGCCCTGAGGGGTTGTGTAACGCTCCCAGAGTAGAGGGAACTTTGTCAATCTCAGGTGCATTTCAACACAACAGCAAACAATTGCATGGGGTGTGCCCGCTCTTGGTCACACCATGTTACAGGCAAAAAAAATCAAGGAAAAATAAAGAAAAGTGAGAAGAAAAAAACGAAAAGGGAAAAATATGAAAAAGACAGGGTTCTGTCAACAAATAGCACTGAGCACTGGAGAGTCTGCTACTGCTTGCTGCTGGAGACAGGATGTTGAGGCTGACTCAGTCTGGCTCTGTGTTTGTAGGCTCGAGCATGTGATGTTAAAATCCAATCCAAGTGTTTGCAGTATCGAAGTGTAGGGTTTTGTTTTTTTTTTTTATTTCCAGATCCCAGTCTCTGTGTTTAGCACTGACAGAGTCAGGTGTGAAAAAATCCAGTCTCCTTCTCAGCACTCCCCAGCACACAAAGTTGGCTTGAAAATAATGGGATCCTTAAAAAAAAAAATCAAAGGTCTGCCTCTCCTTCCCAGCTTCCAGCTGAAAAGAGGCTGATTTCCAAGGTTTTGTTTACAGCTGTCAAGAAAAATGGCAATTTAGTATTTTATTAATTTCTGCATTTATTAAATGGGAAAGCAGGGATTCCTGCAATACTCAGGAGCATTAGGAAAGCTCGTGTATTCCAGCTGTCCCAAGAAAACTGGCAGGCTCTCAGGTTTGTACTAGTTCTCCAGGTCAGTTCTAGGAAATCAGTAGAGGTGTGACCTGTGTTTCAACTTTAGAAAACAACACAAAGCAAACAACAAGCAGAAATCTCCCCCAACTAACAACAAACAGAGGAAGAGGAAATAAAAACTTTATAAAGGTTTCTTTTTACAGCAACGACAGAGCCCAGGCCATCACCAAGTCTTCTGTTTTCCCTTAATTAGTCACCTTGGTAGCTTTTAATTTGCAGGTTAGATGCCAGGTGGTGCTGGAAAATGTAAAGCCCATGTCCTTCAGGCTGCTTGAACAGAACAAGGATCACTTTCATCAAACAGTGCAGATAAGGGGCCTTCACCAGCTGGACTTTGGCTCATGGGACACTGAGCACTGAAACAGGGTGTCATGTAAACTGGCCATGCACGACCTGGGGATAGAAAATGGTTCTGGAAAACTGTCTGTGGGAGGCTTGGCTGCAAGGGTGTGTGTAGAGCCTCTCTGCAAGTGTTGGTGTTCTGTCTATTTGGTGGTACTGCTGGGTGCAGTGCGTGGAAGACCATAACCCACGTCTGAGGATCAGCATCTCCAATGTGAGAGACAGTACAGTGGGATTTCTTAGAATCATAGAATCATAGAATGGTTTGGCTTGAAGGAGACCTTATAGACCATCCAGTTCCAACCCCCTGCCATGGGTAGGGACACCTCCAACTAGACCAGGTTGCTCCAAGCCCAGCCCAACCTGGCCCTGAACACCTCCAGGGATGGGGAGTCCACAACCTCACTGGGCAACCTGTGCCAGGACCTCACCACCCTCACAGCAAAGAACTTCCAAAGGAAAGAATTTAGGGAGAGTTTATCTAACAGAAAAGAGATTGCAACTCTTGAGCTGCAGCCCAGCCAGGGAGAAGTGTGTGGATGCTCATCTGAGTGTTCTGCTCTTAGTGTGTGACCTGAACATGTGTGTGCAGGCGGCTTGATGTGCTCCAGGGATGATGTTTAGAGCAGAGCCAGAGGACCATGTGGCCATGATGTTCCCAGAGATGGATGGCAAAATGCCATGTTTTATCTCTAGCTCAGCTGCTCTCCTGTGGTGGGAGCAGCACCATCGCAGAGGGTGAGCTGTGCCTGGAGATGTTTGGATGCTGCAGGCTCCACAGGGACCAGGATGTGTCCTCCCCACCACCACAAGCTCCTGCTCTCCAGCTGTGGTCCATGGGTTGAGTTGCAGAACTTGCTTTGGCAAAGAAAGCCAGAACTAGACAGTACCAACGAAAACCAGATTTCCTCCAGAAATCAGGGGCAGGAAATATCTGTCCCCTGGGCAACTGCTTGAACAACAGCTGGTCTTGCTCCCTCTGGCATGGTCCCGATGCTGTGTTGGCCTCAGCCTCTGCTGAGCCTACTGGGGCTGGCCCAGCAGCCTCCTGCCTTTTCCTGCTTCCCAACCTGCCACCAGATGTCTTGTTTCAGAGCCCACCATGCACAAAGGCTCATCTGTGCTCAGAGACACGCAGCACAGAAATCATCTCCTGGGCTCTTGAGAGGTTCAGAGGCTGGGGAGGAGTCAAATCAATCTGCATCCACCCTATAGCCCCAAGCTGGAAGGATGTCTCCACTGACTTCATCTGCCTTTGGGTCAGGATCTCAACAGGATTATTTTAAATGAATCCTGGTATAAATTGATGCCAGCGGTAGCAAATCCTTTGGTGAAAGAACCCTTGCCAGCTTGTGATGCCACCTCCCACTGGTGGCTTTTTGCCAAACCCCAAGCCAAGCAGGCACTGATAGAGCCCTGCAATTCAGCCAGTGAAGAAATGACCATGGGCTCAACTCTGGACTCAGCCCTGGCCCAGAAATCCCCCATGGCCTTGGGCAGGCTCTCATTACAGACCACTCTTCTTGGCTTCCTCAGAATTCGCTCCAACAGGTCCACGTCTGTCTCTCATTGAGGAGTCCAGAGCCAGACACAGAAAATGTTGTTCTTTGCCCCATAGGACATGGACAGAGCACACCTTGTGTTCTCACAGCTGAGTTCTCCCCATCAGCTGCATGACCACATCCAGATGCCGGTTGTCTATTACAGATCATTCCTGGAATGTGCCCACCTCCAAACTGTGCCAAGGAACAGCTTGGCCAAGGGCTCCTTTTGCTGACAGCACATGAGAGTATGCACTGACGTCTGAGCCCGAGCCTCACGTGATTCCATTTACTCGTGTAGATACAGTCTCTGAATGCCAGAGTATTTTATCTCCCCAGCACGCCCCTGGAGCTCGCTGT